GGGGCGGCGGGCCTGGCCAGGCTGGAGGGGTACACGGGGACCGGCAGCTCGGCACGCACTGCTGCCTGCGCTGCGGGCAGGGAACAAAAAATAATAGTTAAAAAAAAAGTCAGAGAAAGGCACATACAAATTATTTGAGAGCTGGAGAAAATGTCCGGTCAGAGAATTAAAGATTCCACGCAATTCAGTCTAGCAAAAGTGGTAAGGGGCAGGGAGGGTGGAGACAACATCATTTTAGTGTGTAACGGTATTTATAGGGAGTGCATCTGTCCCTAAAGTCTGATTAGGCATACCAAGGTGCAAAGGCAGGTATAAGAGAAATATAAGAGCTGAAAGTTAAAGACATGTTTTACATAGAAAATGAGTACTTTGATGAGCAATCGGAAGGACCTGTCAAGGATAGCAGGTTTTTTTTTTTTCCATCTACCATCTTTAAAATAAACTGAGTATGTTTCTGAAAGACTAATGGATGTTAACTGCAAAATACTGGATTCAAGGGCAACCATTTACCATTTTCTTACTGGTGTTATGGATGAGTAAGACATTTAAATCTTAAAACAGTGAAAACTCATCCATTTGAAATCCACCCTGCGATGTCTCGTCCTTATGTAACCAGTGAACTTTTCAATACGGTCAAGTCTTCAAGCATTGAGTTGAATGTGCACTTGATACTTGTTTTGTAATGTGAGTTGCGCTGTGATCATGGTGACTGAAGACCACAGGCACCTTGTCATGCATTTAGCAAACAACTTTGCCAATAAAAAAGATGTTTCTGTAGGCCTGTCACCTGTAACCAGGAAGTCGGGGCCAATCAACAGAAGAAAACTTCTCTGTTGTAAGGATGTGGTTAAGTTTGACTTCAGGAAGAAACGTATCATTATGAGACTGTGCTCTTTAAGGTAGGATGGAAGTATTAAGAGCTGGTAAGGATTTTCTTCTGAAGTAACAATGTAGAATGTACTTTATTTTATAAAAATAATATTTCTATTTTTCAGATAAATAGTTTAAGGTAAACTGAATTATTATGATTATTGCTCAAAATAAAGCGTTGAAACAGCATAGTTATTACAATAACTATTGCAGATGCCAGTTTTCAATTGAAATATGTAACCATTCAGGGTTTTTTACTAGATGCATTGCACCAATGTTTTAATACATTCTGGTTCTGAAAATTCTGATGAAGTTTAATTACTCTTAAAAGTAGTGGATCTTCTTCAGGGAAATGCAAAACCAGTTACCTAATATAGTCCATTATCGATCCAAATCCACTGCAGAGCTAGTTTCAGAAGCTTATAGCTTCCTTCATTCTGTGATTCAGCAACAGAAGTTTCATAATCAAGACAGTGAGGATCTTGACAGGGCAGGCAAAGCTTGTGTGTGCTGAATCTTTTCTTCTAATCAGCAAATTTGTTACATATGTAACATATGTTTTGTATGTAAAATAAGTTGTTAACGCAAGATACTTTTTGACCGCAGAAGCTTCATCATTGTCATTTTTTTTCTGTTTTACAAATAACAGAAGACATAACTTCTTACTGTAATCAGTCTGTAGTAATTCTGACAGAAAACAAGAACAATTCCTTTCAAACAAATCATTTTGCATTAGAAAATGCTTTCTGATGAATATGCCTATGTTGGTTACATTCACGCGTCTGTGCATGTTTGCGTGCCTGCCTGCTTTACACATGAGAAGTGTAGAACAACTGCAGTCTACATTGCAGGAACCATCGTCTAACACTGCTGCTCTTTGATTCCTCTCAACTTGTACCGCAAAGCCAGGCAGACCAAAATGCCAGAGTATGTTTGCAGAAGCGGCAAGACAGGTGAAAGGGAATGTGAGATGGGGGACGAATGTATGAGTTTTACTCTCTGCAAAAATCTTGATAGGCCCAGAAGATACGATATCCAATTATGACGATAATAATAATAATGATATATAAAAAAAAAGTCCTGCATCAGAGAGTTTACAGTGCTAGGGGCCTTTCCTTCCAAAATATGCTAAACTACGCTCAAGATGTGAATGCCTATGTGACTTCACTGTGGTCGTGTTTACATTTACAAGCATTTGCAAGGGCGAAACAGTTGGTACTCAGGTTTTAATGCACATTTTACATGTATTTCAGGGGCAGTTGCTATGGACAGGCTGTGTGCTTGCACTTCTGTTGACCAAGGACCCATTTGCTATTGATGACAGATGTAGTGCATTTCTTGATTTAGTTTCATTTGAAAGGAATTCAACTTTTCACATCCTGTTACATTTGGGGAAAAAAAAAACAACAGAGGAAAAAAGTAAGTGGGTGTGACTGGGAGATTGAAAGGAATTCAACTTTTCACATCCTGTTACATTCCGGAAAAAAACAAAACAAAACAAAACAGAGGAAAAAAGTAAGTTGGGGTGACTGGGAGATTCACTTCAAAAGTGTAAAGTGTACTCTGGAGCTTAGGACAAGACAGTTGGTAGCACAGTTTGACAGTTCATGGCTTTGCTAGAACTATGTGCTGGATCGTATTGAAATCATTAGGCTGTATCTGCTATTTTCAACAAAAATTGAAGCAGGTCTTGTAGACAAAGGAGGGGTTATATCTTTACTATAGTTCTCCCTCTTTGTTTCAGCTGGTATTCCTAATAATAACTAAATTAAGTGTACTGAAGAATATAAGAACAAGTATGCCAGGCTATGTAACTCTTGCCATCTCTGCAATTTAAATCTTCCTACATATATGCTGCCTCCAAAAGTCTTTAGTAGTTAAGAAAAAAAGACTAAAAAAAGAAATACATGTGTACAATATAACATTAGAGGCAGTTGAGGTCAGACACCATCTTGATTCTTCTACTTTTGCTACTATTTTTTCTTCAATGTATCAGGTGACTGTTTAAATTTATACAGCATTATCTGAAGAAAATACATCCCATTGTAATTGATAAGCTTATTTATATCTGTTTCATATTGAACTGAATATATGATTATATTTTCAGCTGTGATTCAAAACTGAAAACAGAAGAATGAAAATAAGAGATAAAATAACAGAGAAATACTACTTAAATGTCTTCAATGGAATTTTCTTGGTAAAAAAATCTGTTTTTCTTATTTAGCAGCTTCAAATTAATTTTTTTAAAGTGTTTTAAATTAAAACAATAATCCTCCTTTTTTTCCAGGCTCTCAGTCTTATGCTTTTGACATTTGGCCTGTGGCTTTTATTTGACAGAAACAATTTATTCAGTTTGTTATGTGAGTATAAATAGATTTGGTTTTTTGTTTCAAATGATGGCAGGATAAAACAGAAACAGTGATAGAATTTTTTTTCACAAGGTGGCAGTATTGGATTGAAATGCATAGGTTATTTTTTTCTGTTGCATATATTTTCCATTATTAGACAGTATGATGACAATATGATCTCTCCATATAGATATTCCTTTTTCCCAGAGTGTCTATCAAATTATTTCACAGAGAAGTAAGTTTTGGGTCAC